CCCCTTCCTCCCTTCCCCCCACCTATAATAAGTATCCTTCAAGCATTTGCATATGCTCTCATTTATCTGGAATAGTACAAATGTCATGTACACCATGAATTAGTTTGGGTTGTGAGTGTGGGAGCAGATGATGGTTGGATATCTGTTTTCGCATGTGGTACTGAGAATGATCAAGAGGGTTTGTTTTTGTTGTTTTTTTCACCTCAGAATTAACAGATCTCTGTGAAAAAATTTGACTTATTCATTTAATGTAACACTGAGAACTGCTCTTTCATGCTATTAAAACTTTGTATGCTAGTGTTTTAGCCCTTGTTTGTACATATATATTATACAGTCAAACCTGCCCTGATGGCCACCTCTATAAGATGGCCACCTGTACAAACGGCCACTTTCCTTTCCCCCCCTTGCGTTTTTTCTATATGATTTAACTGTGTAAAACGGGCTCTTGTCCAATGCGGCCGCGGCCACCAATAATTTAACACACAACCCCTATCACACTAAGAAATAACACCTGTCTTAGACGGCCACCATATTGTAACACACAACCCCTATCACACTAAGAAATAACACCTGTCTTAGACGGCCACCTTAGTGACTCCATTTCGTTTTGTCATAAATTGTGCATTGACCCCTGGCGTTGTGGGCGAGCCGTCATAATTTAATCACCTGTTGTTGTTGTTAGGTAGTCCCTCCAACCAATCATGATGCGTAGGCTCCTCCCACTGTTGACCAATAGCTACCAATTTTCAGCTGCCTGTGAGGTAGGCGTGTGGTCCCTCAAAACCCATAAGCCCCACCCAAAACTCATACACAAATCGTTAGTGAGATGAGTGGTCACTGTTTACCCAGTCTGTAACGAAGTAACAAAGGACGTCAACTTGAACTTGTGACAGAAGCGTCGCTCGTTCTCCGAGAGGTGGCGACCCATGTGTTTGTTTTAACGTGGCACTCGGTCTTCCTCGTTTGATAGATTTTGTTTTATCGTCACCCTTGAGCAAAATCAGCAACAAAATAAAAATTACAAACAAAATACTTGCCAACAACAACAACAACAAAAACAACAACAATGCGGCTACTTTCGACAGGGACCTCAGATTGGAAGTGTTTGTTTTCTTCATCTTGATCAGTCCTGCTTAAGACGGCCACCTGTCTTATACGGCCACTTTTCTCCTTGACAAAATGGGTGGCCGTCTTTCTCAGGTTTGACTGTATATATCGACCTAAGCAGAATAAAGTTTTGCTTTTTTTGAAAGTATGATGAGTGATGCAACCCTAGTCATTTACAATTTTTTATAGATGCTGTAAAGCTCATTCTTTTGTGTATATTGGTTTGGTATTATTTAAATAGTATGGCATGCAAACATTTATAAATATTTGCAGAAAATGCTGAAGAAACTGCTGCCACTCAGCTAGTGACAGAAGGAGGTCAAGAAAAGCAAGGTAGCAGAAGAAATCTTCTGCATACTTTCTGCTAGCCTGAGATTTGACATTTCCTATATCTTTCCATAACCCTAGCATTAATGTTTTACTCTCGGTTGTTTTTTCTTTGCTTCCATCATAGTCTTCTGAACCTATATTACTCAAAGGGGATTTTTTTGAATTATAGTATTAATAATATTACATTTTTTCATGGTTATTCAAAATGTAGCATTTTGTCGCTAAACTTATACATTGCTTGAGATGGATTCTTTGACTTATTCTATTTTCATTTTATTTTCAGTTTATATTTTTTTCCAAAACTGTCACAAGTGTTATGACGTGGTGGAATCAGATGCTCTTCAATTTTTGGGAATGTGGAGTTATTTATATCATCTGAAAGATGATTTATTTGCCTTGCTTTCAATTAAATAAATATCCATTTATCTTAGCAATTGAAGGAAGTTACTTCGCCTGGTTTCAGTGGTGAAAGAAAGTTGCCGCCAAAGTTTGGTAACTTCAATAGCTAAAGCGTCTTTGAAACTGAAAAATGACATATTTTGAGCCTTTAATCCATGTTTTTCAGTAAAATTCAAATGGAAATGTGCATTTATATGGACATAAAAGAGGTTAACCCAGTTCACCCTGCGTTGCCACGGCAGTACACTTGTGTCCACCTAAGCTTTCCGCGAGCGGGGTGAAAAATCAGTCTGAACTCAACACACTAAACTTAGACACGCATTGTGCCCAAACTATTTAGGGTATCAATATGATGTTTTTTAAATATTATTAGAGAGAAAGTTGAAGGAAAGAGCAGAGAAAACAATATATTCTTCGTCCGACTGCGACTCATCAGCACTTGATTTAGCCATAGCAACTTATAGTAAATCTATGGTCTAGATCTAGCTTTCTTCGAAGTTTTCAAGGTACTAAAATCAATCAGATTGCCTTGTTTTTCTATAACTAGGTCCACTTTCACTTTCTTTGCCGCTTATGCCTAAAATAATCTAAAAACATGGTTCATGTATTGCAACAAACACAAAAATAGCCATGGCACTGTTGTTTTTTTGTGGCCGTTTTTTTTTTCTTCTCATCCATGAAGATTTCAATACTCACTTTTTTGTCGTAATTTGCGGTGACAAAACAACAAAGCTAATTCGTACTTGAAGAAAAACTGGATCGAAACAAGCTAGCAAAAGTTTTTACAAGCTAAGCGACCTATTATTTTCAATCGAAACCTAAATGAGTGGTTTGAACTCGATTTTGCGGATTGGTATTTTGATACGACTATTCTTGTAGCTCGGTGGACGGAAGCGCACGGCAGCTACTAATATACTTGTAGCTGAGGTGCAATGGGTTAAGCCAAAAAATAAAAATTTGATAATAATTTCATGACTGATGGAAAAATGCCTGTTTCTCCAACTTAGTTATTGTGACGAGGACCTGATTTCACCACACTGCCTCACATATGCTTCAGTGTGGTGCATATGTTTCTCATATTCTAGCAAATTGAGATACATTAATTGTCAGTGATTAACCTCACAGTTTAAAGATATAATTCTTTGTATGCAACCCTTTCCTTGTAATATGGATGACACAAACATTTTGATTAATTAGTGCTGATATTGTATATCTTACTAGTTAAACTGTTTGCCCAGTTTCAAACAAACTGTATATATTATGTAGTATGTGCTGCTAACTTGCTTTTGTTCTTCACTCTTCTTTATTATGCTCCTTAGATCTCTAGTAAAATAATATTGTACTCTTTAGAAGTATTTCTTTTATAATTTGTACAGGTAAGTAGTCTTCTCAAGTAGATCTAGATAACCATTACTGACGATGATTTCCTTTTCAGTGTACTGACGGTGATTTCTTTTTTGATGTATAGTGCTAGTATTGGCATCTCAATACCCTCTTGTTTTATCTGGTTTCTGCTTTACATCATAACATCAATTTCTACATTTGTCAATACCTTTGCACTAATGAATTTCATAATATTTTATGTCGAATATGCTTTTAACTTTAATATTGGTGTACTATCTTTATAAAGCATCAATGCACAAGTCAAATTAACAATTTCCTGAGAAAATGATTTTTAAAAAATTCTTTTGATTTTTTTTTTTCATTATGAAGCCTTTACATTTCTTTGAAACGTTTTGCAACAGCATAAACTGATACCAAAACAGGAAGTCGGAGTCAAAATATTAACCCTATTCATACGCCATGTTTTACTATCGCTCTTTCCAAAGAGGAAATTTACTCGTTAATCTGATCCTACGCTTTACAGAGCAGTCATAGCAGTTTGTCTAAATGTGTTTTTTTTGACATACTGAAAATGTCAAAGAGATTTTTGCGCTAGAAGTATTCTAAAATGTGAAGAATACAACCCCTGGGGTACAAAATGACCCAAGGCGTACGGATAGGGTTAAGCTTCATCAATAACTTACAGTTTCGATTCACTTTAAACTATCACTAATATAGTTAGATTGTTGTTTTGTCGTAATCTTATGTCGGTGCAATATGCTGTAAACCTTCATGTTTTGAGGCTGACTGCTGTCTAAAAAATATGTCTCCAGTTGGAATTTATTATTCCTCCATGCAAATATCTTATGAAAGTTTCTTTTTCATTTTGTAAATTCTCTCTTTTAAGTAAAAAAATTAAGGTTTTGCTCTTGCTAGCCTAAGGTGTTGGAATTGTTTTTTGGCTCAAACTGTATGCTGTGGATAGGATATTGTATCTTGACGCATCACGTATGCTTTATCATCATCATCATCATCATCATCATCATCATCATCATCGTCATCATCATCATCATCATCATCATCATCATCATCATCATCATCATCATCATCATCATCATCATCGGACCATCATTGGAGCTTGAGATGGTATCAGAACTTTGTGAATGAAGAGCTCAACCACCCACGTTGCTGAAGATGCAGCCCTGAAAAGGAGGGTGTCAAACATATGTTTGAATGTCCAGGGACAATGGCAATTTGGATGAAGTTATTTGGACGAGTGGAGGTGCCTCTGAGTATAATGACAATGGAGCCGAAAAAGAGCCTCGCTCTTGCTCGAAAATTTCTTTGTGGAGATCACCAGGCCCATTAAGGAAACGAAAAGAAAAAAATCTTCATCTTCAATATCATTGTATACAGCAGAGAATAAAAAAGGTTGAGATTTGGTAGGATTTCCAAAATATTTTATGATACGTTCAACGTTTCGCCCTCTACGGGCTTCGTCAGGAACATTCAAAAAAAATAATTTAAATTATTTTCAATATCATCATCATGATCATTATAGCATCATCATCTCATCCCATTTTTCTTGTTTTGTTTTTCTTGAAGCTTAACACGATTTCTACCATTTTAGCTAATTTTTATGTAAATTACAAATTTGGGCACCAAAATCGGAACTCTGGACATTAAAAAAAGAAAAATTTATTAAAAGTTTAAAAACGTCACGTACAGCTGCTGAAAAGAGTTACAGTGAAATTGCGTGAACCTTCAGAAGGAAGGGATTTGTAAGTATTTACTCTCTCCTTAACATTGATAAATTTTACCTGTCTTTGAAGTAAAAAAATGTCACAACTCAGGGAATATTTCAGACTTTACTTTCGTTTATAGAACAGTGATTTTGGTGATCCAGCAAGCGTATTGGTAGTTGGCAAGAAGAAAGATATGGAAAAGAATGAGGGAAAATTATGTTTGGTCCCACTATATTTTTCTGTCAATATCAGAAAGGTTCATGCGGTGAAATATCTTGTACACCTGTTGGTTATCATCTTTTTTTGCTTTCTACAGTGGAAAGTGGAGAGGCAGGAGATGAAGCTGCTGTCCAACAGGTAAATATTACAAGGCTTGGGTTGTTAGTTTTTTTAATAAAGCTTTCATGAAAATGTAAATGAAAAGACAGCTGTTATGTGTCAAGATTTTAAAATGGAAAGTAGTAATGTGAGTTCGTAAAAATTATCTATTTTAGCACTATGTCCTCTTGAGGCTGGAATTTTTCCCAACAATTTATCTTTTTAAAGAAAATGAACCATGTAACTTCCTAAATCTCTTTTAAGATAACAGTAACCCTCCCCAACACAAATAAAACAATTTTTTTTTAAAGCACAAACAAATTGAAGTTAGGAAAAAAAAATTTTGGACACTTATCGAATGCAATTATTATGAAAATGCTTTCACTGCAGGAGGCAGGTGAAGAAGAACAGAAAGATGAACAGGAAGTTGCTGAAGAGGAAAAAGAAGAGCAAGGTGAACAGATGGAAGAGTCGGCAGCTCAAGAACAAGAGGTTACAGAGCCACAAACTGCTGAGGCTGAAGCTGAGGCTGAGGCTGCGGCTGAGACTGAGGTACAGGCAACCACCGGAGAAACGCAGGAGGAGGCAGGTGACAGCCAGGCCCAGGAGGGTGCTGGGGATCAGACTGGGGATGTTCAGCTGGAGAAACAGGAGGCTGGGCTGGAGGGAGAGGAGCAGCTGCAGCTGACACAGGTGAGGGTTTATGGAAAGTCGCTGCCCTAAAATGACAAGTTCTATCTGCTTAGTACCCAGTTTTGAGAAATTTGATGGCGAAAATTTTAAGTTTCGCAACATGTCAAGTTTTCGCAACATGTCAAGCTTTTTTTAAGGCAATTCTTTCAATATCTTGATAACGACTGAATAATCTTATGGTTTTGAAAGACCGGATAACACATTTGGATTCTAATCTCATGGTCTTAGTAACTCAAAAAGGCCAAAAATTTCAGATAGAATTTGTAATTCTAAGGTAGCACAGTGTGTATTTCTTGGTGCTCCATGTATCTATGTTGCTGTTGGTATTGCTAAAGCCATTTGTTGGCCATATTGTGTTAAAAATCTTTTGAATATTTAGGGTTGAACCTCTGGTAACACTATCCCATTGGAGAGGGATGTTAAATCAGAGGTCCTGCCTCTTGAATAACCTAATAGTCTCCTCACATCCTCTTACCTCCCCAAATCCCCTCCTTAAATGCCATTGGCTCTCTTCATATCTTGGACATAGGTACAGACTAATGTGTTTTATTTTTATAACTTTCTACAGGAACAGTCAGACTTGAACCAAAGTGCAAGTAAGTTTCTCTGTTCTGTCATTTTGCCCTTTATTTATGTTTGGAAAAAGGAATGGAAAAGACATGTACACAACTGTAGGCCTATTATTTGTATCCTTTGAGCAGAAAAAAAAGTATTAGTATTACATTTTTTTTAAAGTAACAAGTTTAGAAACTACTCCATTGTATTATTACCTGTATAACCTGTCCTGGACAACAATGTCATTACACACCGGACAGGTCCATAAGTGCTCAGTTCCCCTCAGCACCGAAGCCTGCAAGGTATCTATACTGATTGTTCCGATGGCTGTCTGATTATGGCGACATCTTTCCTTTCCAGATAATCGTTCCTTTCTTCCTTCTCCCCTCTCTATCCCCATTTCCCGCATCCTAATGATTGCGTGGTGTTCTTTTGTCTCCTTGTCTTCTTCATCCCGCAACTTTTTCTCCAGGATCTTCAAAACTTCTCCTTTTTGTCAAATTTCACCTCACTATTAACCACGGCACTGCCTGCCAGCCTATCAGCCTCCTCATTGTCTTTCACTCCAGAGTGCCCAGGACAGAATTTCCACGTGATGGCTCTAAGTGATAAGTGTTGTATTGGGCTCATCCATTCACTCCGAAGGAGCCCTTTCTCAACCCTTCGCAGGATGCTCTGGGAGTCTGTGACAATGATGAGATGGGTAGTTCTTGGTCTTGTATTTTGAAGCCAGCCAAGCGCTCTTGTTATGGCCTCAATCTCCATTTTCATGCTTGAAGTTGTTCTTTCTATGGCCCTTGACTTGCTATGAACCTTTTTGTTTCCACTGTACACCACAAAACTCCATCCACTTCTCTTACCCCTCCTGACCGATCCATCCGTATAGATCACTGGGTCCTCTGGCTTGGAATGCTCCTCAATTAACTGTCATATGTCATGTCGTTAATGACAGCAGCACATTCCCTTCTTTCACGACCTATAGTGATGTGAACGTTGGCCAGGCTTCTGCAATTGGGGCTCAGTTCAAACCATTCCTTTCCACAGCATATTTCATCGATGCCACAAACTTTCCTCAAAGAGTGTTCGGCTTCTGCCATCCATGAGCTGCCCCGTTTGATCCTGTTTCCTTTGATGCTGCTTAGGTTGTCATGCAAAGGGTGCCTCGGGTCTCCCAAAACTTTCAAGTACAGCTTTGCCTGTTCCACTTTATGCCTCACTCTAATGCTGGCCTGGTCAAGGATGTATCTCATACAGACTACATGGGTGTTCTTTGTGCAACCTAGAACGGCCCTCTTAGCTGCATTCTGTACTCTCTCCAACCTGTCTATCTGAGTCTTGGACAGAGAGAGTATTCCCAGACCATAGTCTATGACTGACAGAACCACCAGCTGCATTATGAGAAAAAGAACTCTCTGTTGAATTCCCGCTGAAGCCAAGGTTTTCGCCACATTGATACTCTTCCGAGCCCTGACAGCAACATTATCAATATGTCTTTGGAAAGAAAGTGTCCTGACCAGAGTGTTTCCCAGGTACTTCAACTCATGCCATCAGTCTATGAGGAAAGTGGTCTAACACAATTGGAGGGGTAGGATCTTTCACAGTACGGTTGTTGAGTGAGCACCAGATGACCTGTGCTTTGTCTGGATTGATGACCACATTGTAATCTTCATACCAATCTGCGACCTTGCTCAGCCTGTCCTGTAGCATCCGTCCAACTCTATTGTTATAATGAATGCTTTATATGTTCTAAGAACCAAGGAATTCTTAATAGCTGATGAATAAAATTTACAACATCATTTTGTTTTCCGACTTACAAAAGTTACCTATAATATTTTTATATAAGTCACTCCTGTTTCATGATGAATATTTCTATTTTTTTTAAATAGTGCTCTTTTAGACATTTGGAAGAAAGCTCTGAGTGTAATGAAAGTCATCTTTTTTTGTGCTTTCAGATGCACCAGCAAGTGTGAGTATATCCAGACATCAGTTCACTACAATAAACAATGTGTAACACAAGGTGGAAATGTTTCATTAATGCCTTTTCTGTAAAATCATTTTTTTAAAAAGCTTTTGCAACTTTGCTATTCTTGTCTTTTAATCTATAAGGTCCAGTCTCATCTAATATCTTTTATACACAAATACCATTCAATATGAAATGCCTTTTTGAAATGGTTCTAAGAGAAAAGTAAATGTTTTTGACTTTTGTCGCTTTTAACATTCAACTTTTCTATTTTTCATGGTGTTTGATTTCTATTCCTTTCTGGGTTGGGGGGGGGGGGGTCATTTGGTTTTTGTTTGTTTTTTTGTTTTGTTTTGGTAGCTGTTTTAAGAATAACCAGAAAGTTGCATCTCATGTGTTCATCAGACTTCAGAGGATATTTCTGCAGTGCCACCAGCTCCGCACCTTCCTACACCCATGAGATCTCACACCGAGATTGAGGGTCAGATGTCTACATCTGCTCTGGTTAGTCATTTTACTGTGTTTGCAAATTAATCAGCAATTTGAAAATTACCTTTTCTTGGGGTTTTTTTTTTTTTAAGCTGTTTTGTTTAACCCTATATTTACTTAATATCTAATATTCTGCTGATCTTTTGCATGCTATGTTGAATATCTAATTTAATGGTTTCATAAAGAGAAACCATAAGAATATCATCTTCTGATAATGCATATATAAGGAGGGTATAAGACTGTTCTTCTGATTTCCTTATTTTAAAGGCTTTCTCTGTTATATAGAGATGACTTGTGACTGTGAGTGAGAATCTTGTCTAAGAATACATTTTTGGTCATCTAAATAGTCACATGGTCACATTTGTTTAAATTCTTGTCTTTTTATTAATTTCAGAATGTTGTGTGGTCCTTTGGCCTGAACCGCAATGTGCCTGTCCTGAACCTGAGTGACGGTGTGAGGCAAGCCATCATGTACCCGTGCGCTCATGTGGGGATCATGTACGACTTCAAGAACAACAAGCAGCACATCCTTCAAGCTCATGTGAGTTTTTTTGTTTTCTCTACTCTCACAGAAGTTTGACAAGTTTTTGTTCATGAGAGAATGTTTAACTGTTGTTTCATGATGCTGGAGGAAAAATGATTTATTACTTTTGCAATTTGCTTTGACCTGTCATTCTTCTCTTTATTGAGTAAGGTTAAAATTATTTCTCATGTGTGAATTTCCAAATGAACATCACTCTCATAGTATGACTATTTGAATCTGTGTTTTATAAAATTACAACTGTCTCTTTCCATCTGCACTATTTATATATGTCCACATTCATCTGTCCTGTCTCATCTCATTTCTTATAAGTATACTTTGTTTCATTCGGCCTCTCCTCATGCTGTCCTCATCTTATTTCATATAAACTAACCCCATTTCATTTTGTTTAGTCTCATCTCAATTTGTTACATTTCACGTCGTGTCCCCTCGCTTTATTGCATCTCATCTCAACTAATTTTGGGTCAATTCTCCTGTTTCAGCTGAACCCCATCACATGCTCAGCCGTGTCACAAGACAAACGCTGGCTGGTCACTGGAGACGTGGGCCCTGATGCCATGGTCAACATCTGGGACACCTACACAGGGTGAGTGAGCTGACCCCGGCTCTGAAATGTTGTATATGTGATGGTAAAATGATGGGAGATGCTAAAGATGTAGTGTGGGTCCCCATACCCAACCCAGTGTGTCCCCGGGTGGTGGACAGGGGAAAAGCTTCCAGGTATGGAGGCTCTCTGATAAACAGTTGCAAACAAATGGAAGATGGTTGCGAAGGGTACAAAAGAACCCTGGGGGTATACAAGTGCTTCAATGAATACATCAAACGCTCAAAGAAGGGCCCATCTTAGCAACGGGAGGCACCAGAAATCTTACCAAAGCCCTCACTGTCTTGTAGGTTGTTAGTGGTTGACAAAAGGTAGCAGAGAAAACTGTACACAGACCAGCAATAGGCAACGGTAAACTACTATTGCAATGTCCGAAGAAACTCATGGAAAGACACATTCATTTCAAGGATAACAGCGTTAAAATGGACCCTGAACCAGTTCTGAATTCCTAAGTTTGTAGGGAATGCCATGAGCAACAGGTGGCACCTTATCGTCATTCATCCACAGTCTAAATATTAAATATCTTTGAAAAAAAGGATTAACCAGACGATTGTTGATAAGGGAAACTTAAATTTATGTGTTTTGTCTTACCTGCTCAGTAAACAATGCATTTTTACTCTAGAGCTACTGAACAGTAAGGCTTTTAAAGTATCTACCACCTCTCCTTTCTTTGAACGGTTCAATCAGAAGACTAGAATATCTTGTATTTCACCAGCACTCCAATCCAGACCATGTTTGACCCAAACCCCTCTGGTGGTGTGGTAGCTGTGGCCTTGACACCAGACTCCAGATATCTGGCAACTATGAGTGCTCTACCAGTGCAGGTAAGTAATAGCTGTGGTGATGATAGAAAAGGTAGCAATGATGATGGTGTTGTCAATCTCGTAAATGTTGGGCTTTTTCAAATCTGAAAGATTCTTTCTAATTTACTGTGCTTATTTATTTTAGTTGTTTTGAGGTTCTGTATAAAGAGAATATAACAGTTGCTCATTTTGAAAGAAAGTTCACTTGCCCTTGCAAGAATGTTACAGAGAGGTTTTGTAAAAAAAAAATAACATAAAACTTGGTAATTTGGGTTAATTTTCCAGCAACAAATGTCACATAGTAAGCTATTTTTCACCTATTTATATTTTTGAGTATATAATTACTCAATGTATAGAAAACAATTTTGTGTTGTTTGTTTTAGTAAGGTTTTACGGCGTTTGCAACTGCATAAGGTCATATGAGCGCCATATGTCAACAGAGAAGTCCTTACAGGAAATCAGGCTTACTCTACTCAACCCTCTAGCTTCAACAGCACAAAGGCTGCTTCGACTATCAAGGCACCCCGGAATTAGGGGGTCGCAAGAGTGTGACAAACATACAAAAGAAGTAGAGGAAAAATGACGACAGCAAGGATTAGGAAAGAAAAAGCAGCAGTTCCCTGTTGTAGTTCAGGCACAATTATGAGCATGACACTGATGAATCAGCCCAATAACAATTCTACTATGCATAAGAACATGTTAATGTCACCCTTTGGGAATGACCTAGAGACACTTCAGTCAGTAGCACCGCCCTGGGGGTGTCGTTTTTGTGTGTAAAAGGGATAGTGAATGCAGCAATGATGTGGGATTTTTTGTGAAGGGTTTACCACCTTTCAAATGGATAGACTTTTTTTTTTAATATTTACTTTTGTAATTGTATAAAACTTGAATATGTTCTCCAAATTACGAGCTATATAATATTCATACTTGAACTTTTAAAGAGGTTTTGATGAAACTGTAGTGATGTTTCAAGTGTTTCCTTTTTTCACTGTTTGATCAGACCTTGGCTATCTGGGACTGGACTGTGGATGGAGACGTCCCTCTGTGCTCTGCTGACCTCAAACCTGAATACGGCATGCAGAACTTTATCTACTTTGACCCCACGGACATCCACCACGTAGTCACAAACAGCGAGACTCAGGTTCTCTTCTACCACTGGGTGAGTAGGGAAACAGCGTTGATTTTACCAATGAATGAGAGGTTGCTTTTTTGTTTGTTTAGGGGTTTTTTTTGGGGGGGAGGGTGTTGTTTTTGTCTTGACGGAGTCTCTCGTTTCCTGCTGAAATGCTACTTCCAGCTTCAATATAAATTTATGCATCCTTTTCTCCCTTTTCGATTTTGTAATACTGATACCCCATCATGCAGTTTGTTTCCAGATGAAAATACCTCAAAGTTTTTCTGGATAGCTGCTGTTATCTCATATTTAAGATACTTGGCTACAGTGACAGTGGACTGGATTTAAATCCTTTCATGGATGCTTCTTGATAAAGGCTTGCTGGGCAAGTTCATACAGTTGTCCACCTTGATCTAACAAAGTATTCCCACTTTCAAATAATCCACACGTGTGCAAGTTGCGCACATAAAGATCCCTTGGTGGTCTAAAATCGATAAGAGTATACTTTGGTCGCCAACCGGGCAAAATTCAAAATTTTCTACCAACTGAAAGTTTAGTGTGTCCCACGCGCTCATATGACCTTATGCAGTTACAAGCGCTGTAAAACATTTTTAAAAAAATATATATACATAGAAAATAATCCACTATAGGCCAGTACATTATTATTGTGAATTGTTCAACATACATTTTTAAATAAAGAAATTATGGTACTGCACAAGGTTTTTGGGATGATGTAATGAATTAAAGATCGTATTTGTTGGAGCCACAGGATCATGTGTGAAATTTAGCTTTACTTTACTTTATTTTTCCGATACAGTGGCCATTTAATGAAATTTAGCCTTAACACTTTCCGCCCACACAGCACAGAGAGCATGGAATAGTTATCCCCACGGACGAGGATACAAATTCAGTACATGCTATATCACACCGTCACCTATCACACCGTCACCGATTGGCGTCCTGTTGGGGCAAAGTGTTAAGTTATTTGTAATAAAATTGAAATCAGTAAACATGACAACAAATGTTGTTTTGAAAAATCAGTTTGTATTGCATTCCTTGTTCTGCCATCCAGGACACGACTATGAACTATTATGCGCCTCCACTGACCGACAGCGACTTCAATAAACCTGTAGGTCGCTACAGCCAGTCCGTCTTCCAGATTGGTATTGCTCGAGCTCTTACAGCCACCTCCATTGGAAACTTAGTGGTCTGGGATAACAACAAGCCCCTGTCCAAATGTAAGTAGCTGTAAAATCATCATCATCATCATCATTATCATTATTATCATCCTCATCATCATCATCATTATTATCATCATCATCTTCATCATCATCATCTTCAGTACAATATGAAAAAAAGAAAAAGTTAGTTGAGACTTGAGAAATTTAAGTTTGATGGCATTATAAAATTTGTTCAACCTTTCACCCTTATGACTTTTTTCAGGAACGTCATCATCATCATTGTTGAAAGCATGATGATAAAGAAGAAAAACCCCAAAATTAGTAGCAACTTACGTAGGTGAACATATACCACTCTATAAAATATTTTCAATGTTTCGCACTAATCATGATGATGATCATCATCATTGTCATGATTATCTGTAGAAGACTTGCATAGCATCTATTGACAGATGATTATTTTACTGTTCTTCTGAACTGAAAAAGATTTGCAATTTTATTATTTCATACGCCTAGTTCCTGTATCTTTTATATGCTTCTCAGTTCATTATATAATTTGCTTTCTGTGATAGGCTATGTTAACTACCAGAACACTGTACAACAGCAGTTGAAATTTTTTTTAAATATTACACGTATCATAAAATACTCGTTTTTTGCTCACATGTAACGTTTTATTAGGGACTCTCGTGGCCTAGAGGTTGAGATGTTTGCCTCTCATTCAAAAGTCCCGGGTTCGAATCCTGGTAGTGACTGAAAAAATTTTCTTCTCTAAAATTTTCTCCTTTCACCTTCTTTCCTTCTGTCTTGCATTATTCTGTTGTCTGCTTTCATTTCCACTTTCTTCCCCCCACCCCCTCACCTCCTTTGCCCCCTCCTTTGGACTCCTGACTGTTCCTGCAGCCTTTCTACTGCTACTTCTTGGCTCCCTCTTACTGCTGTCTTTCAGCCACACCCTTGATCTTCTAGTAGGAAAGATCTCCACCTAGCCTTCTAGGACAAGGGCGAAAACCTCTGAGGTCCCGTGTGCAAGTTGCACACGTTAAAGATCCCTTGGTGGTTCTTCTATAAGAGTAGCCTTTGGCCGCCACCCCAGCAAAATTCAAAATTTCCTCCCAATTGAAAATGTTTGGTGTGTCCCCTGCACTCGTATGACCTTCTGCAGTTGCGAGCGCCGTAAAACACTTACCCAAAAAAAAAGTAAAGTTTTATTCCCTCTATGCTCTGTCCCAAAGTGTACGAGAAACCAGAGGTAGATGTGTGGACAGGACTACCAAGTAAAAATTGCTTTCACACTTCCGTGTTTGAAGTTCATTTACTGTTGATACTGTTGAGAATGCTGTTTTAAATTATTCTGTTTTTGTTTTCATTCGTTTTTTAAAGAATTATTTTCTCTACAGCGTATCAGTACTTTAGAAAGTTACAATTTTATGCAAATTATTTAATACTGCTACTGTTTGCCCAGCTTTGAGAGGATATTATTGCAAACAATTTCTTTAGAGAGGAAAAAGGATGCAAACAAATGACATTAACAAACATTTAAAAACAACAGTTCTCATTTGACTGCTTCCAAAATTTTGAAAAAGTATTTATTCTTAAAATTGATTTACTGTGTACATGCAGATTATTACGTTTCAGTGAAGATTGAAAACGAAAAGAAAGGTTAATGGAACAAAAGTAACACTTAATAACTTGGGCTAGTGTCAAGCAGGTTTTCTCAAGATAACACCTAACATAACTAGCTGTTTTTTATCTGGTCCACAGTCATGGATGTCAACCAATCAGCCGACAAGAAGCCACTGAAAATCATCAAGGTCCATGATAAAGGAATCAATGTTCTCACTACCACAGACAAGTAAGTGATCTTGTTGTTGAAAAAGTATAAGCAAAAATAAACACAGGATAAGACAAACTTTTGGTCTCTTAATCCTACTTTATACAATCTAGGAAAGATGAGATGTTGAATAAACGTCAAATACTAATATGTAAATAGTACCTTCACCTCACTAGAATTTCATTTTTCATTGCACTGGTGTTCGTCAACTTTGATGCACTTTACATGTAAGAGATACGCTAAATTATTCCATTGATGCATACACATCGACATTTTTAAAGCTGTGAACCTAACCCTCAGAAGGCTGGGACTTTTCAGATCTTGTGAATTAAAAAGTTAAATGTAATTTTACATGGGTACGAAAAATATTGCTTAAAAGATTTCGTTTTTTTCAACTGTCTGCGATACATAAATTTCTGTCTTCCATGCCTGTACATATTCTTTGCCATGTTATCAGGAGTGCAAGTGAGTAGAGTTTAATGTGCTTAATACTTGAAAGTTGACCTACTTATCATTGGTGCTCTTCTTTTTTTTTTCTTATTCAGCTACATTGTGCTTGGTGACACTGCAGGCCATGTGAAATTTTATGATCAAGGGCTGAGACTGATCTACTGGTGAGAACAGACGGATTTATGAATTTCCATAATAAATTATAAAAAGCACTGGTCGCTCCATGTTTTGTCATCCTTATTTTGTCACCTAAGAAATAAGATAGTAGATAGCAGTGGGATGTACCTGGGCATTAGAAAATGGGATGTTTTGCTTTTCAAAAATTAAAATTGGGTGGTTCTAGGAAATGAGTTGTGTCACCTCATAGAAGGGGTAAGGCTGTTAAGAGGGTGTTTTGGGAAGGGAAAAGAGTAGAGCAGCTGCCTGTAGAGCATTTGGCTAGGGGAGAGGAGTAAGGTGGCAGGGAGGGTGTTTTGGGAAGGAGAACTGGGATAAATCAGGTGAACTGTGTATTTTTTAAAAATATATAATTATGGCTAATCTGAGAATATCTTAATATATCAATAAATAATGGGTGTTTGTGGCAAATGATTGTACCGTAATGCCTGTATAAAAATGAAAGATGACATGAAAAGTATAATTTGTGTGTATTTAAGGTGGGGAGATATTTTTGCCAAGAAAAATTACTTTGTGGATTTTGAGGATATACACTTTTAACATCTAAGACATGATTTGTTAATAATAAATACTTGTAGGTAATATTTTGATTTGACTTTCTTCCATCCAGGTATGCTGATTTCCACACTGGACCCTGCACTGCTATTTCTTTCGCCCACATGCCAGATTTTGTGCCAATGTAAGTTACCAAACATACAGAATGCTTTCTGTTTGAAGCTAAACACGATCTCCTTGCCTATATGCTTAGTTTTGAATCGGTGCTAAGTGGACATATGAGCATTAACTCATTCAATCCCGTGACTGAGATATCTTGGTCAGCTCGCAGGCTGCGTTCAATCCCTCAACAAACTCGGATTAGTTCCATAGTTTTGTTCCGTTTACTAGTTATTTTGTTTTGGAAAATGGCCTCAAGTTTTATATAATGTCACTTTATTATTTCGCCGGCAAATTCTGCCTAGAGGGGTGCTGGAATTTTGTTTCTACTGTCATCACCCACAGAGAAATCACACTTTTTATGAAGGCAATTTCAGCACTTTTGTTACACTGATCAGCTGAGAATGTCTCGCAATTGATTCTCTCTGCCTTTGTAAAATGTACCGGTACATTTTTTAAAATTCATGAAAGTATTCAACAGTCTTTATTTTACATGAGAAACAATATATAGATCTATACACACACAAGTATATTCTTTGAATATCAATGTAGGCTGACTCTTGCTCATTCGGCCATGAAAGAAAATAATAAGCCCCCAGAAATGCCAAAATTGTACAACACCTCAAACCAAAACTACTAAAGCTACACTTCAAATTTGGTATATCTAAAGATCCATTTAAGTTGTACTTTGTGCCAAATTTCAAAGCTATTGGGTTATATTTATGGTTACTGTGGGCCCTTACATTATAAATGCCAAAATGACTGGTTTCTGGGTGCAATTTAGGGAAAAACTCCCGCGATTGAGTGAGTTAAGAAAAGAGTTAGCTGAACTGAAAATGAATTGATATGTTCAGACTTAAACATGAGCAATTCAAGAGAATTTAGAACACGTTTTTCTTTTTAAATGAGGTTGATAATATTGGAAGACTATGTCATGATGTTTAAAAAGCGTGCATTGTTGTTTGTTTTCTTTCTTTTTTGCATAAGTTTAAAAGAAGCACATAAGCCTGATTATAGCCATGTTATTACTCAACAAATATCAGGCAGATAAGGAAAAGGTAACGTTACTGATATTTCTTTATGGAGTGTCTCTAGTATGTTATTTAATACCTCTTTTACAGACCCTCTGAAGGCCAAAAGTTCCCCTCCGATGCCACTAAATCAGCAAAACCTTTTGTTGTGAGGGATTTTGTGGTGGGAACAGCTATTGCCGTGTATGGGAATGTCAACACAGACGGCAGTAAGTTCAAGGTAAGCCTCTTGTGAAAGGAGAAATACATAAACTCTGAACTGAAACTTTGGGGGATTTTTTTTTTCCAGTATTAGGAAAATATTTGTTGCTATCGTTATATGATTATAGCATTTTAAGCTATTCTTTTCAGTTTGATGAAATTCTAACTTTGCACCTTTTTTTAAAGCATTGGTTTATAAATATTGTGATTTTGAATGACCTTTCATTTTTGTTTTTTTCTTTAACTATTTATTTCCGAGAGGGGTAAACCCACTGTACCGTAGCCCTTTTTGGTACTTAATCTAAAAATAACAAAAATGTCACTAAATGGGTCAATAAATCAAAACTAGAATTCAATCTATTTTGATAGTTCTTCATCTAACGAATGAAGTCCCAATAAAAGAGACCTGTTTTTGGCAACTGTTGAAAAGTAATTTGATGTCGACGTCGTCATAAAGGAATGTGGCCGAGCCTCTGTCAATGGCTCACCGGCACAACGGTTCTGACTGCTAGCTGCTAGGAGCGGCTTGCCAGAGATAAAGAGTTAACATTCAAGTGCCAAGGACTGATTTTTTTCGAAGGGTTTTTTTTTTCCCAATTCTAAGAAGCTAAAATACATTTTGAAGGAAAGGTTGTATAGTATGTGTTTGTAGGATGTTAAATATGAGCTATGTTGTTGATTTATTAAACAATATTTTGGATATCTTAATGTATTCTGACCTTTTTGTTCGTCACTTATATTCAGATCTGGAAATGTCTTGATAACTTTTTAAAAAATGTATTTTCTATTATTTCTTTACAAATCAGCTCCATGCCTTTTTAATCATGACAACCATTCATTTGAGTTCTTGATGCAGAAGGTTAAAAAATGTAAATTTTCTGTGTTGAAGAACTTGCCTGGGATAATTATTTATTCGCAATGTCTTTGTTTTGTCCTCTGCCCTTTCAGGTGATACACAGAGAGCATGATGCAGCAGTGCATGCCCTGGCAGCCCACCCAAAACTGTAAGTTTTGTTTTTTACACTTGATTTTATGCTTCCATTTCTGTTTAAGGACTGTTGTTTTGTAAATTGCTATTTCATTGAAGACAGAATTTGCTTTGTTACTGTACTACTATTTGAGGTATTGAGGTATTTAAATGCTAAATGATAGTTGGCAAGATTATAGTTTTTTATTTTTTCATCACTGTGATGTTACTATGAATACCTTGTAATCTTAATGCAGGGCTTTTATTGAGACATGATTGAAATGTAACAGTTTTTAAAGATTTTATAAATATTATAAAGAGCTAGTTTTGGTGTATGAACAGTTCAAGACTTGTATTCTTTACACATATGTGTTAGCTTCACATGCAAAAAATACTTTCACACCATTCATCAATAGTATGATCATAGAGCCATTGTTATACCCACAGACCACAGTAAATTTGCTCAACTTCCCCATAATCTCTTCATCTGCAGGCCCATCATTGCCATGGGAAGCTACTCTGGATTATTGAAACTTTGGAACTATCGTACAAAGTAAGCCTTTCCTTTTTTTTTTAACATTTAAAATTATTTTCTAATTTGTTGTTTTCATTTTTTTTAAAGTTTATTGTAAAATGTTATTATAAGTCTACAGTCTTTAGAATTAGGAGAATATATTTCTACAAAAGGCAAGATTTATTCGAGTAGAAGGCATAGCTTTTCAGTTTTTGAGTCACTTATTTTTTATCATATTACTTGTCATACATTATTTATCATGACTACATTATTTATCATGACGATACTACAAAACTTAGATTATGGTGAATGTAGGCTCCTCTTTGTACAACAGTTACACCTTGTTATAAATTTCGAATGTGGTGTTTGGAAAAATGAAAGATTCCTTTAAGCTGTTACAAAGAAGGATGCATCTGCATCTGTGGTATAGTCATTAGGCTGTTTGTTGTTGCATGTGGAGAACACTTTGGGAAGTTACTTTGTCAGATATTTCTGCACGTCTGCTGGTATACCATGTCCTCTTCTGCAAGGGTTGGCTCTGATGGGAATGATTAAAGAAGCCTACCTCATAAATGATCTAAATTGTGTCAATGAGTGATAAACATGAACAGTCAATTACTAATCAATTATACTCGATTACAATCATTTAAAGAAGGTTAAATCTGTTAAGGTTTTTTAATGTCGAAATTATGATTTTGGTTTATTAGACCTAATTAAGTATTTCTGTCTCTACTTTCATCACATATTTTTCACAGAGAAACAGTGGCGTCAAGAATGTTTGACAAACTGCACATTCAGACCTGTGCCTTTGACCCAAAGGGCTTGTACATTGGTGAGTTTTTGCTTTGAAATTAATTGATCTTCTTGAGGACTTTATGCTGCTATTTTGATGAGATACTAATTTTTTACATAGCCACTTATGTGATTTTTTTTTCTCTAATGAAATAATTTCATACGTCATGATAGAGAGATCATTTCCTAAGCCTGAAATGAATTTTAGTTCCTCGCCTAAAACTTATCAGAACACTTGAGTGCTAGAAGTGAGTGAAGAATCTTTCTTCTCTGTAGTGAAAGATCACATAATTTTTTGGTCACTAAGTAACTAAGCAATGATAAATAATAAAAATGAAGCAGACCTCCCGATGGTCTCTTTACTTTTGCTGATTTTCTATTTTTTATTTGTTCATTTATGCCTCGGACTTTTTTCTTCAACCGAGTGTATGGGCTTTTCTCTCTCTCTCTCTCTCTCTCTCTCTCTCTCTCTCTCTCTCTCTCTCTCTCTCTCTCTCTCTCTCTCTCTCTCTCTCTCTCTCTCTCTCTCTCTCTCTCTCTCTCTCTCTCTCTCTCTCTCTCTCTCTCTCTCTCTCTCTCTCTCTCTCTCTCTCTCTTTCTCCCTCTCTCTCTTTCTCTCTCTCTCTCTCTCTCACTCTCTCTCCCCCCCCCCCCCCCCTCAGTAAAGAAATATTGAAATAAGATCATTTATACTTAATATTCGCTGATTTCTTTGATAGTTTTCAGATGAAACTGATAACGAACAGAATGTTCTTTTCTGAAACATTTTTTGTCATCATCAATTTCCCTGTTCTTTATTTCTATTTTTAGCCCTTGGCTGCACAAATGGAGCTGTTTTCCTGGTGGACTCTGTGGCCTTGTTGGATCAGCTGGCAGAGCCCTACAGATATGCCAAAGACACCATCACGCACATTGCCTTCTCACACAACTCAACATACTTTGCAACAGCGGTAAGCGATGACAGGGAGACTACATCTTTGAACTGTTAACCGCCTCGTTAATCTGACACCTTTTCTCCCCTTTTTGTACTGGTGAGAGTCTTCAGACAAATTGTTGAACCATAACCCTCCTGGTTTTTCTGATACCTCATTTCCCTCTTTATGCTGCTGTTGTCTTAAGACAAAGCGTTAAACCATAAACACCCTGGTTTTTCTGATAACTTGTCTCCCCTCTTCCTACTTCTGTAGTCTTAAGACAAATATTGTTGAACCGTAAATTTACTGGTTTTTCTGATTCTTTGTCTCCACTCTTTATACTGCTGAGGTCTTACTTAAGACAAAATGTTGTGACTATTGTAGTGCTCATTCACCAGCACAATATAGTTGTGATTAATTTGATGTGGTTCTTTTTAGTTCTCATTAGCAACTGAATGCAATTGTTCTTACAAATTTTGTATGAAATGTCACTCACAGGATGCAGGTTTTGCTGTCACTGTTTTTAAACGGCAGCGGAAACAAGGACGGAATCCTTACATCTGGCATGGCCGCTACCGGTCGCACTACAAGCCTATCAAAGACCTCATTTTTGGAACTCACCTGGACACAAATGAACCCAAACTGCTCACTTTGGGTGAGGACAGGATGCTGGTATGTCACATGTACCTTGTACCTGGCATCAAGACTCCATTCATAGCTAGTTAACCCTGTCCGTACGCCCTGGGGTCATTTTGTACCCCCGTTGTTGTATTTTTCACATTTTAGAATACTTCTAGTACGAAGATCTCTTTGAAACTTTCAGTATTTCTCAAAAAATCATTTGGACAGACTGCTATGCAAAGCGTACAGATTGGATGAACGAGTAAATTTCCTCTTTGGAAAGTGGTAGCGCAGAGTTCCCCATGTCGTATGGGTACGATAGTAAAACACGACGTATAGATAGAGTTAATGCATCTCTGCCCATGGAAATCTGAATGAAAATTGAAATTATCTGATCATCATATTTATTTAGTTATTTAGTTATTTATTTATCTATTTATTAATTTGACTTGTTT